CATGGGGCTGCAGCTTAATCAAGCCACAAGCAAGCTGAGCACGTGCATGGGGGAAACGGGGCGCAAGCTGAACGACGGCAAAACAACCCACTTCACGCGCGCTATTGGGAATATTGATCGTTTGCAGCAGTGAAACCGAGCGGCGCCCCAAACCGTTGCAGGAGCAATTGCGAGAGAGGTGCGTGTTCTAGGACGTATTCTCACGTTCGACGGCAGCCTTCGAGCCGAACTTCGAGGGCGAACTAATGCAGCAAAGCGGGGTGGAGATCCTCGGGCGAGCTATAGTCCGAGCCGGTTCCACCGCGCCTACGGGACTTGCACTTCATTGGCTGTGTGCAGAGTGCGGGGCTGTCAAGACTGACGGCCTTTGTCTTGCCGCGCAGCTTCGCCGACAAGCTCGACGTGGTGTTCGTCAGATTCCCACGAGTGCTCAGCTGTGGCACGACAAAGGAGTTTGAGGGAACAAGTAGAGCGAGACACACGTGAAGGTACTGGGGCAGCACAGCATCTCACGCGCCGCGGTCGAGTTGAGGATCCAACGTATTCGACGATATCAGAAGTTGTCTCGGGACCCCCAGCAACGCTCGAGGTCCTGGCAGGGACCTTCGGCAGTGCGCGCATGGACCTCAGAGTAGACGAGCCGCGGATGGGGCCAGCAGGATAATTCAATGAATATAGAACCCCCTGGGCCCGCCAGTTCAATAACGATTTGGAGATATTCGCAAAGGTCGATCCAGCGTCACAGTTCGCACAAGCATGGTCGTAGGAAAGGATTGCCCGACTTCTTCAAGAAAGATGGGTGCAGGAGAGCGCGATTCAAGAAAATACCGCAGCACATCAGGCACCTTGTCAACCGGTACGACGAGGAGGAGGAGGTACAGGAAGCCTACGGAGGGATCGTGTACGTGGAAGGGGAGGAGGACATGCGCGAGTACGTTTGCACGCACGAAACAGCACAAGGTGAATTTCATGGGAGCGTCTCCGCGACGATGATGGCCCTGGCGGCCCACCGGAACAAGTCACATAGCATGCGAGAGCCTTGCTCGATGATCACGACGACAAGCGCGCGCCCGTGGTGTAGGAAGATATTCGCGTCTAGGGCCAGCTGTCTACGTCGCATGAGCAATGTCTCGGTCGAGTCCGATGCGATGTCCAACCATCACTCCCCTCAACGGAAACTCCAGTGGGTAACCCCCCGAGGTTGGGCGTCGCCGTTTCCCGCTCTCTCGTGGAGTGCGCTTTGTCTTCGCAGGATCCTTCGTCGCCGTTTTTTCCCGGGGTTCCACTGCGTTCTTTTGGGGCGCGCGACGCGGACCGCGGCTTGCTCGCTGGCTTCCTCGGGGCGCGTGGCCTCACGGGGGGTGCCACCGAAGGCCCCAGTTTCAGGGTTCACACATGCCCCCTGGCAAATCTGGGCACGCGCGCACACGCGCACACACGCGCACATCGCACGGTTCGTGACCTCAGGGAGCTCCACCGAAAGCCTCAACAGCAGGGCTCACATGCGTCCCAAGTCTTGTTTTGGCACACCCTCACACGGTGCGTGGCTTCATGGGGAGATTCAGGGAGTTTCACCGAAGGCCCCCGTGGCAGGATTCGCATGCGTCCCAGTAAGTGTTTTGGCGCGTCGTCGTCGCTGTTTTGTACGAAAAGGTTCACTGAATATGTGTGTTTTGCTCGCCGTTTTTTGGGTTGGGGTGTGTTTGTGTGGGGCGAGTCACGTCGCCGTTTCTTGGTGTCACTCGGTAAGTGTGCAGGAATTAAATTATCTTCGCTGGTCTCTCTGAGCGGATGGGTTGGATAGAAATATAGGGGGCGATGTCCAACCATAGCCGATTCGTTCGGGTTCGCGCTTGTAGCGGCTGCAACGTGCACGCGCGGGTTCTGCGACCACACAACTATTGAGATCAATCAGCATCTAGACCGCGCCAAGCTGCGCGCAGCAGGACCAGCTGATGTCGACATGGATGATCGTGCCAAGGCGGACGGGGCTGGCTCAGGGGACTGCGCGGGCGCGAACATACAGGAGTGAATATTCACATTGCAGAAGCACGCGCTGAACAGCGCGCAGGTGCTGCGTATCTTGATGGGGCTGCTATGGGGCTGTCTTATCCTGGCGCTGGTGCGCCCAGTGGTTACAGAAGGACTGCGCATGGGCCAGGGTTACCGCCGCCTTTTCAAGGAGGAAGGCAAGGAAGATCTCGGACCCCCGCACCTGCACATCATAGGGCGCAGTATTCCCATGTTCGCGAAGACGCGAGGCCTGCCCAACGGTGCGCAAGGATCCTCGCGCGGTTCGCCAAGTTGACGTCATCCATGGACAGGGAGGAGGAGATGTATGACCTTGCGATGTATTTCCGATTGGAGAAAGACGTGCAACGACGACCACCAGAAAGCCGACCAAGCGAAGCTGCACCCCATGTTGAGCCCGATCGCCATCAGCCCCTTCACGCGACCAACACGGATCCAGCGCTACAAGGAGAAGGCGGGAGACAACGAGGAGCCGCCGAAGGTCGCGATCGCAGAACTGCACCTCCACATCACCAACCACATGCGGCATCGTCAAGATCGGGGGCCCTCCCCCAGGGGCGCTCGAGCGGGCAGCGCAGGCGTCGGCGCAGGAGCAATCGATCTAGCGGGCCTTAGAAGAATGGCAGCCGCAGGCAGCGAACGGGCAAAGACATTACGTCGTGACCTGAAGCGGCAATGCGACAGATGCCGCAATACATTCAGTTACCCTGGTGAGTTATATTGGGCAGGCATTCAGTTACACTGGTGAGTTCTATTGGGCAGGCATTCAGTTACCCTGGGGAGTTCTCGTGGGCGGGCATACATATACCTTGGTGGGTTCTATTGGCGCAGGTATTTCGGCGTTAGAACGCATGTCCTAGCGTGCCATAGGGGGCTGCCAGGCACACGTCGCCAAGCTTTGCTTACGGCGTTAGAGTGCAAGCCTTAGCGTGCCATCGCGGCTGCCAGGTACACGTCGCCATGTTTTGCTCTTGCCCAGAGGAACGACGAGGCGAGCAACCCGCAGAGGGTGGGCGCGGGGGGGCGCGGGAGATTCAGCTTCCGCCCCCCCCCACATTGAGGGATGATGCTCGTCAGCCCGCGTTCGCTCGCTCGAGCCACGAGCACGCGACTGAAACGCGCGATGTTTCCCAGCCTTTCGGCCGACCGCTGCTGCCCGTCACCGTGGGGGGGGTGGGGGAGCGGTGGAGTGGTTGGGGTGGGGACGTGTGGATCTGTGATGCACGCACACATAATAGTATCGAAGGGCCCGAAGTGGCTGGACTATTTGTTCCATTCAGCCGTCGTGGGGCCCTCAACACCCCAGGGTTTCCTCCCCGCACCCATCGGCCCCGAATTTGAGTTATGGGCCTAGAACTCTGCGCTTCAGCTCTGCGCGAGTTGAATGGAGTGCGGTGCGCCTTCGTGCTAAAGCGGCCTTTGAAGGTCCACGATGGTCCCGCAGGCTCACCCGAGTAGCGCATTGAACACACCAGCAGCAATTGTCGTAGCTTGAACACTCACCCAGCAGAGGTGAGCCAGACAGCGGAGACTACGGCTGCCCAGGGCTTGCTTGCTTGCTCTTCCTTTCTCCTCCTTTCTCCTCCTCCTCTTCGTCCTCCTCCTCCTCCTCCTCCTCCTGCTCCTCCGTTTCCGCCCTCTCAGGGACAACGTAGGCTCGGGGTTTGAGGTTTTCCAGCTTTTCATCGGCTCTGGGCGGCTTTCCGGCCTCGTGACTCGTGATGCCTTCCAGCGGCTTCGCCTCGCTGCGAGCGTTCCGAGGGTGCCTGGATCGTCCCGAGCGGCCGCCAGATATCGGAGTTCTGACCCGAAGATTGGACGAGGATCATTGGGGGGATTGGCTCAGGGGCGAATGCATCGACTCTCGATCGCCCGTTCATCGACCGCTCGGGAACGTGCGGCGTCGTGATCGTGGGCCTATCGGCGATGTCTCGCCGATTCCAGGTCAATGTTTCTCCCCCTGAGCAAGTCCCCGCCTATCGTTCCCCCTTCACCCTCCTCCGGCTCATACTTTCTTGCGTACAGTCAAGGCTCTGAAATAGGGAACACTTCGGTTTCAAGAGCTAGGTCACCCCCAGGGGCGCAAAGACAATCGCGCATCGCGGCTTGGGCTGGAGAAGCCGTTCTTCTCCAGGGGCCAGCGCGAGAGCGCGAGGGCGTGAAGATGATCGTGCGTCGCGCATCGCGGGGCGCGATGCGCGAAGTTAGGCGGCCTATGGGGCATGGGCTCCCTGTCCCTCAGGTCCTTCCCGCGGCTGTTCCCCTGGCGCCCCTCGTGCGCCTTGGCGCACCGGGTGGCCTGAAATGAGGGGACTCGCTCCTGATACAGCGCTCCTAGTGGTATAGTAGCCTCGCTTACGCCTAGCGTCCCTCCCACGCCCTCCCTCCCCACCCCTCCCCCTCCCCCCTCCTCCTGATGTAGCGCTCCTCGTGGCATGGTAGCCCTAGCTCGTGTGCGGGGAGGGGCCTGTTGTGGTGAGCATCTAGTGGCTTCTGCCCTCGACGACAAGCAGAGATCCTGGCCTTGTGCACTTTTTCATCGGCGAGGGCCATCGAGGAGCATCTTGGACCATCCTGCGAAAAACACACGCACGACAATTGCACGCACTGGGAATGCACATGAAATGGACGTCCGAGCGTTGGCGAGAGGTACTCTCCACGTATTGTTCACTCTCCATCTCATGGCGCGGCAGTGTCAGGGTCCGAGTTTTGTTGAGCTGGTCCTCGCAGCTCTGCGGAAGCGGGGTGATCATTGGTAGTCGTGATTGATTTCTTGTCTCGACGCACCTTGTAGCAGCCTCTGGCGGTCTTGGGTACCTGTGAGGTTGGAGCATTGTCCTCTTCAGTTTTGTTAGCCAATTCGGAGTGCACGCGAGTTTGCCTATTCTGTCCGCCCATCGTCCTCAGTTTTCCTCCTTCTCCCAAACATTGCATTGTTGTCGTTGCCGCTCTTGTCCCCGCTGGCGCAGGTGCTCATTGGCTGTGAGCTTCTCAGACTCTATGATGCATAGGCTTGGGCCAGAGTGCTGGGAAGAGACAGAGGGTAGAACCGCAGAAGAGGGTTCCTTCTGGTACAGCCGGCCCGGATTAGTAGGTCGACCCTGCCAGCTCAAGGGTACCCTCGTGTCCTGTGTCTCGCGACGCGTGCCTCCTGCATTTCTGCGGCGATGTGGCCTTCGGAAGGGTCTTGTGTCCTCTCGCGTGTCCTGTCCAATCAAGGCCGACTGTATGCACGTCACCCCGTTGTTCATTGCAGAAGGGAGTGGTCATAGAGGGCCGGGCAGAGGGACGGGGCGCGTGAACAAGCGAGAGAGAAGGTGAGCAGCAGGTACGCTTCTAGAGTTGGCGAGGTACAGCCACGACGCTGAAATAAGGAACAGTTTGGATTCGGAAGGGGCTTCCTCCGTGGTTGTTTCTCTACGGTAGGTTAGTGTCGTGTCGACCGGCGGCGTCCCCGCCAGCGGCGTTCAACCTTGAACGCCGCGGGCGACCCAGAATCGTTCGATGTGGAACGATTTGGACGTTTCGGAAACGGCCGATCGTTCAAGGTTGAACGATCCCCGCGGTGTCAGAAACCAACGCCGGGGTCGACACGACGCGAACCTGCCGTACCCCTTCTCGTGCACCCAGGCTTTTTTGAAGCCACAGAGGGGCTTCGTTCCTTCTTACTTAGCGTTCCTTATTTCGGTAGCCCGACTGTAACAGGAAAGGGTAAGGATGATGGAAGAACACGAAAAGAGTGAAGCAGCGCGGGAGAAGGTGAGAACGAGAGTGTGAGGCAGGTCCGGGAGCTGGTGCTCAAACCTCCACATGGGCTGAGGTGCGCCTGCATGGCTTCCCCTGCGGGCTGAAGAGGCGTAGCTCGGTGACGGGCGTGAGCATGTATATTCGCTACGAGTGAGAGCAGCACCACAAGAGTCTCGACTACGACCGCTACCAGCAGCACCAATCTGTCGAGCATGTCGGTGGGCAGTACGAGAGAGAGCAGCACCTCGAGAGTCACGATTACGACCGCTACTAGCATCACCAGTCTGTCGAGCACGTCGGTGGGGAGTGCGAGTGGGAGCAGCACCTCGAGAGTCACGATTACGACCGCTACAAGCAACACCAGTCTGTCGAGCACGTCGGTGGGGAGTGCGAGTGGGAGCAGCACCATGAGAGCAACGACAACAACCGCTACCAGCAGTACCACTCGGTCGAGCACGTCAGTGGACAATACGAGTGAGAGCAACACCACGAGAGCAACGACTACGACCGCTACCAGCACCACCAAACTATCGAGCACCTCGGTAGGCAGTACGAATGGGAGCAGCGCCACGAGAGTCACGACTACGACCGCTACCAGCAGCACCACTCTGTCGAGCACGTCGGTGGGCAGTACGAGCGAGAGCAACACCACGAGAGTCACTACTACGACCGCTACCAGCAGCACCACCCTGTCGAGCACGTCGGTGGGCAGTACGAGTGACAGCAGCACCGCGAGAGTCCCGACTACGATCGCTACCAGCAGTACCACCAGAGTCACGACTACGACTGCTACCAGCAGCAGCTGTTCGAGGCATTGGTGCAAGCTGCCCAGGGCCACAGCACTCGAGGCTAGCCCCCTGGGGCCGCACGCGTCCAGTGCCGAGTTGTTCTACTTGCACCACCGGAGGTCGTGCGCTGCGTCGGCGACTGGGGCGTAGTCTAGCGGGGCGAAGTACACGCCGCCTCTGCCAGCCACGGCCCCCCTGCTCGGCTCGCTGGGGCCGCGATTGAACGCCAGCTTGCACGTCGTGTTCGTGGCCGTTTGCCTGCAGTGCAACCTGCTTCTCCGAGGGCTCCTGCTCTTCATCGAGAGGCCGGGCGTCTGGTCTCCCTCCGCCGTCGCCTTCCTGCTGCGGCCCTGCCTGGCCGACCGCGCCTCGATACTTCAGTTCTGCGTTCTGGTCTCGGGCAGTCCTGTGACGTGGATGTCTGCGCAGGCCGTCCTCTTGGAAAACTGGCGCGTACCGGTCGGGATCGTCGCCCTTGGGGCCTACGCGTGCGACGTGGTCGTCCCACCACTGTTCTGGTGTCGGATCGGGAGCGTCTGCGCGGCCGCCGTTGGAATCCCCGGTTGGCCCACAGTTGCTGGAGCCATATGGCTTTTCCTGACGCCGTTCCGCCGCCACCCGCGCCCCACCCGGAGCCGCCGCCTGCGGACCGCGAGCTCCGAGTCACCAATTGGAGCGCGGATGTGCCCACAAACCGCCAGAATTGTTACTGCTACGTGGATTCGTGCAAGGTGCCGATACGACCGGGGGACCCTCGGGCCTTCAGCACGCCCCTCGCCCACTAAGCTGATCTATCGCCCGGAGTGCATGGAGGGCGGCCTCGGACCCTACGTCAGCGTCGTGGGGACTGACCAGCTCGCTGACGCTCAGACAGACGCGGCCCGCGACCTCTGCGACCAGCTGGGGAAAACCACCCCCGCCCAATTCGTCGCCGATGCCTGGAGCGCGAAGGGGGCGCGGAAGCAGGGCTCGGACG